CAGCGAGTTATAGGAGTTGAATAAAATATAACCTATTCATCCACAAATGCTTCAGTAATTATTGTAAATAGTCAACAGATTAACATGTTTGTTCTCCTTCTTATAGTTTGTAAAGGATTTGGTATCATATTTTGAAAAAAATTATTCAACCAAGACCTTTTTAATTTGACATATAATACTTGATTTCAAATAATGATAATGGAAGAAAAAAGATTTAGAAGCATTATGTCTTTTTATAAGTAGCTCTTAATGGTTTTTAGGTTAAATAGCATTGTAAGAGACAAGCTTAATTCTAACAATAAAATAAAAATGTCCTCATAGATTTCAGTGGGAGAACAGATATTCCTAGACCAGAGGACCTCCGTGGAGTTTTGTAGCTCTAACATCAAGCATGACAAGGTCATACTAGCCGTAGGTCTGCCTGAATAAGTGAGAGTTACACTCTTTGGCTGTCACCTAATACTTTAACTTCCACTAATTTCAGGCAGCACTGGAATCTGATTGTCCCAGTGCTTCCCTTATAGAAAATTCCTTCCTTTAAGCCTTGTGCTACACTATTAGCAGGCATGAACCACTTTGCTATACTACAGCTTCAATAAACATTAACCCCTACACTGCATTTGTCAATATATTAACCATTAACCCCTATGCGGCCTTAAAACGTACACCAACACTAGCCTAAGCATATTATTTAACTTAAAATATATATAATGGCAACAATGTGTATTTGGAGAAAATGCTGAAGACATCTATTGACCACTTGACCTTTGGTCTTGCAGTTAAAGGAACAATCCGGTCACCATAACCACTACAGCTTGCTTATAGTTCCAGGAGTGCCCCCACCCATTGTACTTTTGACTTGGCTCCACTACCATGGCCTAAGAAACTAAATATCAGTTAGCACTACTGAGCAAAGTCCTGGGTGTTATCAGCTGACACTTTCAGCCAATGAGATGAACGCTGCATTTGGTGGTAATAAAGGTTGGGAGAGGTTCTCTGCAGACCCCAACTAGGATGTTCCTTTAATTGTTATGTGTTTGTGGGTTGCAGGCTTGATTAAATACTGAGCTCTGATGAGCATCCACCTGAAAGGTTGGATTCTATTGGAATAGATAAACCATAGTAAATAAATAATCTCGAATGAGAAAAGTGGTATCCATTTAAAGGAATACTATAGCATTATGATTACTGATATCATCAATTTTGATGATTTCCTACTTGGTTGAGGTCATCAGAGTTGATGATATCAGCCAGTCTTCCTGGTGCAAATGTGCAGCCAATCACTGTGTTGAACAAATTAAATGCTTTCTATGACCAGCATTTGAATGAGAACTGACTCTTGAGTCGCAGGGGAATAATCTCCAGTAGCTGTCAGGAATATGGTTGTCTTATACTCTGCAATGACAACATTGTTGTTCCTACAAAATAGCAATGATTCACACTAGAGGGTTAAAACAGCAGGGACCCTGCACCCAGATAAACTCATTGAGATATATACGCATACAGTATCTCACAAAAGTGAATACACCACTCCAATTTTTGGAAATATTTCATTATATCTTTTCATGTGACAACACTGAAGAAATAACATTCTGCTACAATATAAAGTAGTAAATGTACAGCCTGTATAACAGTGTAAATTTGCCGTCCCCTCAAAATAACTCAACACACAACCATTAATGTCTAAACCGTTGGCAACAAAAGTGAGTACAACCCTAAGTGGAAATGTCCAAATTGGGCCCAATTAGCCATTTTCCCTCCCCGGTGTCATGTGACTCGTCAGTGTTACAAGGTCTCAAGTGTGAATGGGGAGCAGGTGTGTTAAATTTGGTGTTATCGCTCTCACACACTTTAACGCTGGTCACTGGAAGTTCAACATGGCACCACATGGCAAAGAACTCTCTGAGATCTACATAAATATGGCCTAGGCTATAAGAAGATTGCCAAGACCCTAAAACTAATCTGCAGCATGGTAGGCAAGACCATACAGTGGTTTTACAAGACAGATTCCACTCGGAACAGACCTCACCATGGTCGATTACTGGAACCATATCCTGTGGTCCAGTGAGTCCGAGATAAACTTATTTGGTTCAGATGGTGTCAAGTGTGTGTCACCACAACCAGGTGAGGAGTGCAAAGACAAGTGTGTCTTACCCACAGTCAAGCCTGGTGGTGGGAGTGTCATGGTCTAGGCCTGCATGAGTGCTACCGGCACTGGGGAGCTACAGTTAATTGAGGGAACCATGAATGCCAACATGTACTGTGACATACTGAAGCAGCGCATAATGACCTACCGAGGATTGGGCCGCAGGGCAGTATTCCAACATGATAATGACCCCAAACAAACCTTCAAGATGACCACTGCCTTGCTAAACAAGCTGAAGTTAAAGGTGATGCACTGGCCAAGCATGTCTCCAGATCTAAACCCTAATGATAATCTGTGGGGAATCCTCAAATGGAAGGTGGGGGAGTGCAAGGTCTCTAACATCCACCAGCTCCGTGATGTTGTCATGGAGGAATGGAAGAGGACTCCAGTGGCAAGCTCTGGTGAACTCCATGCCGATGAGGTTTAAGGCAGTGCTGGAAAATAATGGTGGCCAGGCAACATATTGACACTTTGGGCCCAATTTGGACATGGGGGTGTACTCACTTTTGTTGCCGATGGTTTAGACATGAATGGCTGTGTATTGAGTTATTTTGAGGGGGACAGCAAATTTACACTGATATACAGGCTGTACACTTACTACTTTACATTGTTGCAGAGTGTCATTTCTTCAGTGTTGTCACATGAAAAGATGTAATAAAATGTTTACAAACATGTTAAGGGGTGTACTCACTTTTGTAAGATACTCTAAATGCGTATCTTTAATTGACAGAACCTAACCTCTAAAGTTAGATTCTGCTAAAAGAGCATAGTGTATAGTGGTTCTTTTATGATGCCTTATTTCTCTTTCAGCTATTGCAGATAATTGGCAAAAACCTATGCTAAATTAAGAATAAATTGTCAAAATATGTTGTTCTGAAGGTGATTCTGACATTACAGTCATTCAAACCATTCAGGTATATTTCCTGCTATATAAAACATGCTGTACAATATTTACTACATGTCCAGCAGAGGCATAAGAGGGGAAAAAAGGTGCAATGAAAAAAAAATGGCTGTAGCTTAATCACTAGATTGATGGTGGTGGTGGTGATTGTAGCCATGGCAGTGAGTAAGCTACTGGTGCCAGTGGTAGCAGGCACAGTTGAGCGCTCAACTGTCTCTTTTGGATAAAGCAATTCTCAAGCAGTTAGAGACTATTGACAAGATACAGGAGATTCAGAAGGTGAGCAAATATTAACTGCCTGAACAAATAGTGGGCTGCTGCCTCACGTCTCCAAATGTATCCTTTTGTAACTCCTCTGGCTCATCACACTCATAACCAAGTAACTTCTGAGGTAAGTGGAGGGGGAAACAGAATTATCTTGCCCACAAAGTACATTCAGTTGAGCAGTTGAGCTCCTCCTTAGATGCTTCTTGAGAGGACTACTAGAATGTATAACACAAGATATGGTAAAAGGAACTGAAGTGCCAGTGGAAACTGCAATGGAATACATTTTGGAGCTGATGGTCTTCTTTGTAGTAGATTCACTATATGGGACCAAAAAAGGCAGATAAACTGCAACCATAAAAGCAAGTCTGACTATCCTGAATCTGAATAATTCTACTACTAATAGTGGTTGTGTTGAAACTTTCTTTGTATGGTCATAGTGCCCACTACACAGTGCACTTACATCTATTGATTTGCTCATTGTGTGTTGCCCAGGGACATTTCCCTTGTGCCCCTGGATGTGAGTTATGAGAGCACAAAATGAGAGTGGTGGAGATAACCCTGAAATAATATGCAATGGCTGTCAGGACAGCACATCCAGTACTAATATTAAAGTGTTAGTGGTGAGATCTACAGATCTTCCTGTAAAGTTCTACCATGCTTTATGTGAAAGCTGCAACTCCGGCTGGTAGCAGTTCTTTGCAGAAGGGCTATTTAGGTGCATGTCTCTCTGGCAGCCAGCTGGACCAGAAGAAAAACTGCTGTAAGACCACTGGAATGAGGATTAGGGCTTCCTCTCACTGCACGAGAGAGCTCAGCTTAATAAATAAAAAGATAATATATATATAAAAAAAAAATTAGCAGGATTGTATAGGAAGGACAGACGGAGAAATACAGCCTCCCCACACATTATCTACTAGCAGTCAAATAGTTAAAAACTTTCAGTAGAGAGAAGGTTAATTATGTGGCAGCTGGTCAGTGCTTGCAATCTAGTTGCCACATTAAAAATGTTTAAAAAAAATAAACATATAAAAACACTATGTGGGTCAATAAGCCCCCTATATTACTATAAGGGTTTGTTTAAACCTTTCTATTTCCCCGTCTGTAAAGCGGCATGTGGAGGCATATCTGCTACATTTTTAAAACTAGCATTACTGACAAGTCACTAGAAAGGCCTAATCTCATGGACATATAGCCTTAGCAATACTGGGGTTTTGTGCATAGGGATTTGGCATAGTGTGCATGATTTTGGTTTTAGATGGTAAATTTGCACATGACTTTCCTTTGGCAAATAGTTTATTTCTGTGTTGCCTGGAAATAAGCAAAGTAGTTACTGCTTCATTATTTATGAATTAGCCCCCAATATGTTAGAAATATTGTATTATTCAGTTGTGTTAGTATCATGTACTGAGAATATAAGTAATTCAAAAGTCAGTAGGTAAGCCAAACCTGGAAACATATCTTTGTAACTCACCCATGAGAAAAATAAATACATGGCAATTAAGTAGGAAACAATCATTTGTTAAATGATGAAAGAAAGATCTGCACTTGGAACTGTAAAATGTCAGAAATAAATAGTATGCTTTTATGATGAAAAGTTTCTATTTTATGCCAATTCCTCCCAAAAAAGTAGGTGGAGAAACAGTGTATAAATAGAGTGATGTGGATAGTTTAGTCCTCAGGTGTTTGGTTGGATATTCTTGCTTGAAGTTTGCTAACCAAAGATCTCAGCCATGAAATTTGCAATTGTCTTCTTGTTCCTGGGTATAGGAAGTTGCCTTGGTAAGTTACATTGTTCCTGTTTAACCCCTTAAGGACACATGAAATGTCATGATTCCCTTTTATTCCATAAGTTTGGTCCTTAAGGGGTTAATCAATGTTGTGCTACCATTAGTTCATAAATTTGCTTTTGCAGAGAGAAAAAAAAGCATATAATGCTATAGTACTATACAATTTTAATGTTATTTAATATGTATTTATTCAGAAATAGCAGAAATGGGGATTCGCGATTCAGAGAATTTTGTAAAATAACTATCAGACCTGAATTAGACTTAGTCAGGTTGTCACATTTCACTGTTTAGTTAAATAACTTACACGGCTTGCTAAAGTCAGAATTCCAAGTGAATTTCAAATCTAAGCTAAAAGTAGGCAAAATGGAAACATTCTCCTAGACAACTATGCTTCCAGTCCAGCTAAAATTTGAAATTCACTGTGAATTATCACTTTAGTTAATAATTCTGTTAGTATTTTATATTTTGTTGTTGAGTCAACTGATTTTGTGAAAAAATGGGCTATGTTTTAAAAGTTTGAAAGTGCCTTAATACAATACTAATACCTACACATTTTAAATGTTTAGTTCTAAAAATCAAAAACTACTATGAAATAGAGAATTGTGATAGGAATATATGAAATTATAAATCTTTCAATATAAATTTCAATATAAACCATATCAACATACTATAATGTATCTCTAAAATATATGACTAGTTCAAGTAGGGTACAATATCATGTTTCAAAATCTCTCCATATAGTAGTCTTCTCAAGCGTTAGCCTTTATTCCATACCACTTGTACCTAAACGTGTGTTTCATCATATTTTCTAAATGTTATTATGTATGATATTGTGCATTTTACAAACACCTTATATTTTCTATTACAAAATAATGGAAATTAAATAAATCTAAAATAGGAAAGTAGTTGTGCTACTTAGTGTGAATTTGGTGTAATTTTGGTCTCTGCTAAATGTATTAATTATAAATAAAACTAATGCATATATTTTTTTTGCTTGCAGTCTCTACAAATGCCAATGCTATTAGGAAGAAGAAAATGACCGTAAGGATTTTTTTTTTTAATTTCTTGATATATGATCTATAACAGTTACTGTGAAAAATATAAAATAATTCATAATGGAACAACTTCAGCAGTCAATATATTTATTTATTCCTCAAAAAGATGCACACACTAGCAAAAATTACCAGAAATAAAGCAGGTGTGCAGAAAATAGCATGCAAAAATAATTATATCTAAAAAGTAATATTTTTATAATTTTTGTAATTTTGTTTCCAGCGTCTTCAGTTATTAAGATTAATGTTTAATTCATACATTTGTTTTCAGGAAGCTGAAGCTATGAGCAACGGTCGTGGTCTTGCTTTCATTATGAACAGATATAGCAATTACAAGGTAAATTACATTTTATACCTTCTACAAATTAATAAAATATGTAACCGATAGAGCTGTATTCAAGTACAAATACAAAATGTGTGTCATAGACACATGCCTGAGTAAATGGTCTAACATTTACCAGCTGTTAAAAAAACAACAAACTAAAAACTAAAACTATATACCAAAATTGGAATTGGCAATGTATTTTCTTGAATTTTAATACCATGTATTTGCAAATAAATCTAAACTATACTATATTTTATCTAACAATGGATTTAATATTTTATTTATCTTCTACAGAACTGTGCAAGATGCTCCGACATTGAAAGATACTGCATGGAAAAGGCTATTGTAGAAGATTTTGTCTTGCTGATAGTAGGATATTTTTCTTATATTTTTTTATTTTTTTATTTCAAGCACAATGTTGTACAGGGCAAATTTCAGAAGTAAACAAAATAATTTATTTCATGTGCAAACTTACAATAAAATTAGGTATCGCTTGGAATTGACTATAATTGTTGAGCTGCAGAATGTGTCCCGTTTACCAACATGTGATAAAAATATACAATAATCCCACTAGCTTCCCAAATTAGTAAAGAAACTTAGATTATGCATTACATGTTTCCTCTTTTATTTCATTATTTTAAATCAGAAATTATTACAATCTGTTAGAAAACAAAACACAAACTTTTGAAATGATTAAGATACATAAAATCCAATACCTTTTTTGGTGACTTCTGAGGATAAATAATTGTAAAAGGTTTTTTTTCTCTAATTTATTTCAAACCTTTCTGATTCAAATAAATTAAATTTAGGCCACAGTATGAAGATTATATGCAACTATAAAAGTTTGCCATTCACCTTTACTGCAAGTTACAATATAGCCTTTCAGATATTTGTATTACACTATGTAAGTTTATACTATAGGGTACAATAATGATATTTATAGTAATAATAAATAAAGAAAATGACATAAAATTAAACAGGGGATCAATGTTACAAATACAATCATCCAGTGGTATACACAAAATAACTTAGCAGTTTGTAAACACTATATTACTAAATACAATTTTTTTCAAATGTGTACTATATGACCCCATTTATATGTGGTACAAGTTATATTATTTATTAAAAATAATGGGAATACTCCGACCTGACTTCAGCACCAGTAACCAATTTTTCCCAATAAAATTGTTTTGATGGCTGGAGCCTCCGGGTGCTATTTTTTTTCCTTACTGGGTTAAACCATTTTTGAGCAACTGAACTAGAAAAGTTGTCACTAGATACCTGTCCACACTGCCTTCGCTGTCCTCCTTCCTGTCTCTGCAGGAAGATTTGGCTTGGGCACCGCTGATGATCTCTGATGATCACTTACTGCCAGTTTCATGTAACAGTATATACTAGCACCCAAGCCAAACCCTCCATGTCATAAGTGTAGCAGAGAGGAAGACAGAGGTAGCGGTGTGCATGGGTGATGGGTTCACAACTTCCTGGTTAAGCTGGTAAAAAAAATGTTTAACCCCAAAAGGGTAGAAGACACCCAGAAAATCTAGCCCCTTGCAAAGACTTCATCGAGATGAAGTTGTTATAGGTGGTGAAGTGGTCCTAGAAATATACACAATTGCACATATGTTAATAAATAGATATGAGGAGAAACATGTTTTAATCATGTTCTTTGATGTTCACAAAATATATTTTCATATTTTTTAGAAATTATTGGCTGGAGATATGGGATGTGGTCATCGTGATCTTCTTGGCAAACTGGTAAGATGATGCCAGTACACCAAATAAAATTAATTTCAAATGATTAGCTATATTTATTTTATTTGTATGCAATGCATATATCAGGTTTTTAAAAGTTAACAGCATGAAGCTAAATAACGCAGAGACGCAGTGACAAATGTTATATTACACGTATTTAATAAGTACATACTTATCAAATTATTTGCCTTCCAGCTGAGATACAGTCTCTGTTTTACTGTTCATCACTAATAAAATGTTACAAAATAAAATATATACATTGTCAGAACTCATGACTGGATAACAAAAATACATTTATCATAATAGATAAAATATCTAATTTATAGGAAAAGTGCAAGATATCATTAATGATACAAACCAATGAACAAACAAGGAGCTTTTAGTCAATGCATTTTCAAACAAATGACATTTTTTTTCAAATATGAGACACCAACCAGGTTATTCAATTGCAATTAAGTACCAATATATATCTTTAAAAATATTATTTTAGTCTGAAAGATATAAAGACTTAGGGATAAACGGTATTAAATAACATACTATGGTCCATTTATGCTAATAAAAAGAAAATCTCATACTTTACTGATTTCGGTTGACAGAAGACATTTTGTTTGTTATCCTTTAGTTTCTGGTTAGAATGTTTGAAGATTCTGTCATTGTAAACTCCTTTAGTACATTTACATGAAATTACCAATGTGTTTTGTCGTGCCTCTCTTTTGTCTACCTTTTGTCTGTCTGTGATATTGATTCTTAAGCCTTGCATCAGGTTGTAGTTAAACTCTGCATAATATCAGTTTTACACCTTCTGGGAAGGCCTGTGTTTGCAAAATCACTGGATGGTGGCACTCTTGTAAAAGCTAAATTTAGGAATAAAATCAGCTTAATTAATGAACAGAACATTTGTGAACATTAATTTGTCTGACATGATTGTATGGCATTTTATTATAGTTGTATAATTTGTTATCTCAAACAAAAACAAAACATTGACCTGTAAACGGTTTAGTGAAACATTTCAGATCTAAGACATTCTTTGGGTTTCTTGTACAAATTAACCCTCTCTACTCCAGATACTCAAATGAGAATATATTTCTAGCAAATATGTTATTAAAAATATAAAACTTTCCCTAACAATAGCTACTACTTTTCTAAAACAATAGTAAATCACATTATATTTTTATGAGTCACTGATAATTATTTACTTTTTTTCAGACAATTAATGTGCAAGCTCAGTATGTATATGGTGCTTTTGAGGTAAGAAAATATATTCTGTATTGTATAAATATAAGTGTTTACAGTTAACACATTTCTATAGATCCCCAGTACCGACCACTGATTTTTAAAGATACATAACTGAACAAACATATCAAGTCCTAATTTCACAATATCTGGTCCACTCCCTGAGTTACTTTTGTATTGTAGTTTACTTATTTGTGACCCTCGAACTTCACTGTATCATCTACTTCTAAATTAAAGACCAAGGTAGCCAAAATGGAAAAATTCTCCAAGTCAGCTATGCTTCCACTTTAGCTACTTTGGCCTTACATTTTAAATTCACTTCACATTCCTGGTAACTCTCACATTGACAAATATCCATATTTGAGTATGATTCCTCGATTCACTGACCTTATTTCATATTTGGTTACGTCACTGTTTTATTTTTTTCTCTCACTTCTTGCCTTGCTGTATTTCTTAATTATTTAACGGTCTGTGCCTTAGACTCTCATCCATAACAAAATCTTCCTTAGTATAGTAAATTTAATTCATTTAATTTCTGTTCAAATACAATACTTCACACTCCTACTTTAATTTATCTACTGCATTTTTTTAAACTCTTCTTTTCTTTTTAAGTATCATAATAACACAGATCCAATGTTTTCATTCACAATAAACTAATAAAAAAACATATTCGAGTAAGTACCTTAACTTTAAGAGGATGTAGAGACAATTGTTGCAAAAGTAACAACCATCACAGCATTTTCAGTATAATGGTTGGAAGCTTTCACCACACAGTAGTTTGACAGATGGTCTATCTCCAAAGTAACAGCGACTAAAAGAAAAGCAACTGGAATCACAAATCCATCACTGTTAATTCAAAATACAAAAGTAATTTATTGTAGTCATCAAATAAGCATCAGTGACATGCAACAGTGTATAGCTGGCAGCAAACCCCAACACAATGATCAACCCATATTGTGCTGAAAGGCACTTTCTCAAGACCCAGTGTTTTTAATTTACAAAGACAAGAACATAATCTTGAGTACAAGAGATCAGCCTGATATAGCAAAAACCCTACTTTGAGGAGGTAACCCTGGTAATTGGAATTAAAGAAAAAAGGGGGATGGAGTGTGTTTAACTCAGGACACAATGAAGTGAAAGTGTTATAAGTATATTAAAACTTAGCTTTTATTAGAATTTTATGCTAAAATATATTCAAACAATTCCTACAAACAAAAAAAGAAGGGAGGTAAGTCACCATGGAGCTAATGTCTATGGAGCAGTCATAGTCTGTGAAGGAATATATGAGGTCAAATATAATCAGTGTAATGCCAATAGAATAACTACAATAAAAAGATGTATATAATTCCTCACAACTGCCACCTCTGTCTGTGCCTTCAAGGGCACCTAGAAAAATATCTAAGTGCTATCTCTGTAACTCTGTAAGGTTCCATCAACGCTATGATTCAAGTCTTATCTGTGCCTTCGAGGGCACCTTGCAAAATATATCCCACTGTTATGTCTATAGCTGTGACTCCCTTCCTCCTAAAATATTAGCTAGAATGAAACAAAACATTTAGAAAATCTTGATTGCACTCATATTTAAAAAGCATGTTATGTGGTGTCTAGTAAGTATCACTAAGTGACATTGCCTTCTTGGTTAAAGGCCAGCAAGAAGAGAAAAATAGGGTGACGTTCGTTAAAATCAGTGGGAATATCCAAATCATATTGTAAAATCATATTAAAAAATATGTCTTTACTCTCCCCATCCACCTTTAAATTTGAATGGCATGGCATAATTAGACTGCTTATTTGAAAATAACAAAAACAGTAAATGTGTAGTCATTTTTGATACTTATCCATGTTTTTTATTGCAAACATTGCACCTCCTAGTCTGTAACACTAGGGAATGTGCCCTCGAAAGGTTTTCACAATAGTTCTGCACAAACTGCAACAATATACACTACAGATAGGACAATTCCTGCAAAGTGAAAAAGAAGTTTCAATCTTTGCTATTTGTATGGTATATGTTATTCTCAGTACAGTATTATTGTTCTTAATTTTTTTTGTAAACTCTTATACAGAATAACATGTAAGTTAACCAATAAATCCTTTCTTTATTTTTAGCGCAATGATATTGACACCTTCTGTAAGCATGTAAGAGCAAATGCACAATTAGATGCTTTGGTGCAAGGTCTATCTTCTATCCTGGTAAGTTTTTATCATACTTATATAGGTTAGTCCTCCTCAGTAAATAAGAAATAGTTGAAGAAAATTAAATTAAAATTGCTCTGCCACATATAGATATTTTTTTAATTGTATTTATGTCAAGACCTTTATTAGTATTGCTATGATTCTACTTGCTGTTTTAATGACAATAAGCTGCATTTAAGATTATTTAATAGTAAATTGTAATATGTTTTTATTTTTATTTCTCAGGTTGAACCTTTGAAACAATCAAATGTTGAACTTGGAGGTGTTCTTAATTCCGTTAATGGTGTTTTGGTAAGGAAATCATATTCTCTTTAAAACCCAAAAGACTTACATAAGAGCTGGTACAATGATTTTTACAGTCTTGGGCAAATTGCAGTTTCCACCATGTGAATCCCACATTTCCCTTCCTTTTTTCCCAATTTTGTCTAGTTTCTCCCTCAGCTGTGTATGTCTCTTTCTATGTGTATTTTTCCAATTTTTATACAAACAACTAGTATCTTTACTTAGATTTTATATTTGACTTGATTTTTAATTAACTTAAATATTATTATTAATATTTACTTTCATTTACTTAAATATTAATTTGAAGTAATATTCAGCAAACTAAAACAGAGGGGACAGAGTTGGTGACTAGTGCTCCAGCAGCTTAAAATTTCATTTTGCACCTCTGTTCCTAAGGGTTAAATACCTTTAAAGAAAGAGTGAACAATACACAGTTGAATTATTTGTAAAGAATTGACAATGGGAATGCAAATTTTAGCTGATGTTGGCAAGATTAATTTGAAGAATTCAGCTATTTTGGACTAAAATATTCAACATTCTATATTGCTTTTTATAGACGTTTACCAAACATAATTCTAGAGAAAATTTAAAGTCAAGATCTTGTAAATTGATAATTGGAAAATTATTTATAAAATTACTATAACAGCATTTGAATCTAAAAAAATACTTATATTTTCATTATGTTGTATAATCTTTTTTGTTTCGGAGCAACAAAACTATTTAAATTCCATAACATATTTCTATTCATTCTAGGGTGGTATACTTAGCCCAGCTCTTTCAGTGGTTAATTCAGTTATCGGTGGAGTCCTTGGTGGAACACTGGGTGCGGTCAGTGGTGTGGTTGGTGGTGCTGTTGATGCCTTAAGTGGTGTTGCTGGTGGACTCCTTGGAGGTGCTACTGGTGTCCTTGGTGGACTTACTGATACAGCTGGTGGTCTTGTCGGTGGTCTTACTGGTGGTCTTACTGGTGGTCTTTTGGGAGGAGGTGGAGGAGGAAAGAAGGGTGGCCTTGGAGGCCTTCTAGGTTAAATATAGGTAAGATAACTATATACTTTATGCAGTATTTATCTAAGGTGTATATTTAAATGTAATATATATGTATGCTAAATATATCAGAATATATATCTGAATCAGCTGTAAGAGTATTTCCATTTCATAACATTACCTTCTCTGTATAATTGCCTTTTTTTCTGGTGCCCCTCTCTCATATTGCCAAAGCCAATCTATCACTTTGGTGCAAGATTCTGTTCAATATATATTTTAAAATGTGATTAAAAAGCATCCACAACATGACAGAGGGTATGAAACATATGAAGGTTCCCCCTAAGAAGAAGGATCAGTAACTTACCAAAAGTTAAAGGGCTGCTCCAAGCAGAATGACAAATTCAGTGATTTGAAGTGACCAGGATACTTGGAATCTGTAAATGCAACAATTGAGAAACACTTAACATAAAGAGTTAAATCAGATAATTGTACAGTTTTTTTGGTTGGAGTAAATTTTCAGTGGGATTTCCTAAGATCTGAGAAGGAAATATTTAATATGTACAAATCAAAGAGGGTCTGAAATCTGTCATTTTCTCTCACTTCCAGGTTTATATTTATTTATTTTAAAATCATAAACCTGGAAGTGAGAGATAATGACAGATTTCAGCACCTCTTTGATTTGTACATATAAATTATTTCCTTCTCAGATCCTAGGAAATCCCATTGAAAGTTTACTACAATTGAAATCCCATTGAAAGTATATTGTTTTTATTTGGAAGAGCCACTCTGCGTTCTGCAGTCTATTGCCAGGGCCGGACTGGAAAATTCGGCCAGGGCATTTTTTAATTACAGCAGCCCACTAAAAAGGGCCGGGGCCAGGTAGGGTGTGTTTTGTCATCACCAATGACAAGCACGCCCCATCACAAAGTGAGCATGTTGGTTCAATGCTCTTCCAGGGTAGACCATGTGCAGAGCTCTGCTGAAGAGCTCTGGCATAAGAAAAATACCCTGTATTTGTTCTGCACAGCGCAAGCAAATTTAATAACATGCTTGCACTGTGTTTGCTTGAAATTTGTCTCTGGTGTCTCCGTAGTTGGGATACCAGGAGACAAAAATGCCAGGAAAGTATATTGCGCAGTGTGTGTGAGGGTGCTCTGTGTGTGTGCGTGTGTGTGTGTGTAAGGGGTGTAGTGTGTGTGAGAGGGGTGCAGTGTGTGTGTGAGTGATGGGTGCTGTGTTTGCGTGAGGGTGCTATGTGGGTAAGGGTGCTGTGTGTGTGATGGGTGCAGTGTGTGTGTGCTGTGTGTGAGTGGGTGCTGTGTTTGCATGAGGGTGCTATGTGCATGTGAGGAAGCTGTGTGTGAGGGTGCAGTGTATGCATGTGAGGAAGCTGTGAGTGTCAGGGGTGCAGTGTGCTGTGAGTGTCAGTGCAGGGTGTGTGATGTGCGTGTCAGGGGTGCAGTGTGTGTGTGAGGGTGCTGTGAGTGTCAGGGGTGCAGTGTGTGTGCTGTGCGTGTCAGGGGTGCAATGTGTGTGTGTGAGGGTGCTGTGAGTGTTAGGGGTGCATTTTGTGTGTGCTGTGAGTGTCAGACGTGCAGTGTGTGTGTGAGGATTCTGTGAGGGTGCTGTGAGTGTCAGGGGTGCAGTGTGTGAGGGTGCTGTGAGTGTTAGGGGTGCATTTTGTGTGTGCTGTGAGTGTCAGGGGTGCAGTGTGTGTGCTGTGTGTGTCAGGGGTGCAGTGTGTGTGTGTGAGGGTGCTGTGACATGAGTGATTATATCCCCCTCCCTGCTTACCTTTAGCCTGGGAGAGGGGGATCCTGCTGCTGGGGCTGCCATCCATCCCTGGTGGTCCTAGTGGTGAGTGAACTCTAGACTGTTGGGCTAGAGTTCACTCTCGCAAGACCCGGAGCGTTACCATGTAAGTTAAAGCTCTGCCGGGTTCCTCTGCTGGCAGGCTGGCTCCCTCCCTCTCTCCCCGCCGGCGGCTGGAATATACTCTATGTGGGCCGGTGAGGGAGATCTCTGATCTCTCCACGGCCCGCTATAGACTACTGCAGGGCCAGCTTTTGGATAGTGCCGGCCCTGCAAAGACCGGCAGGGAGATCCTGTGATCTCCCTGCCGGCCTCAGCCCCACAGCCACCGCGGCCCACCGGGCATTTGCACGGTGTGCCCGATGGCCAGTCCGGGCCTATCTATTGCTCACCATTGCAGTATCTAACGGTTAACGTTATGTGATACATTAATTTGAATAATTGCTTTTACATTTTTTACTGCAATATTTACTATTGGAAATTCATTGATATTTTTAAATTTAAGGCTGAAATACCTAAATTAGGACAATAATACAGGTTAGCTGTTTTGGTCTAAATTTGCATTAACTTTGAATTCTTGACACATCTCACATTAGTAAATAACCCAGTTAATCAAATATTATTTAAGCTCATAAGAGGATTGCATAAATTCCATATTCTCTTATCAAATGCTATGTTGGTTTTGGGCTGCATTGCACTGGGATTGGTTACAAGTGTATCCAATGCTCTAATGGATCATTGCTGATATATATATATATATATATATTAAAAACAAATATGAGAGCACGATAGGCAAGGACACTATAATGGAACACATTCATCATTATTGATCAATAGGAACTTTGAGGTAAACTATGAAAATCTGCAGACTTAAAGTATCTTGAAGTAGTGTTAATAATGTATATATCTTTCTTTTAGGTGACTTTCTGATTCATCTGAGAAGACAAAGAAATGATACATTCTTACTTTATTAATTCATCTGTGTGTCCTTATTTCAAATCTTTTTTTACTACTGCATACAATTGCTCTATTTTCTCTAATTTTGACTTTTGATCTTATTTTGCTTGTATCACTCCACTCGATTTTCAATAAACACACAGCTCTAAGACAACATAAATATTGTATTTTCATTTCATATGTGTGATATTATAGCAGGAATGCAAAGCCAAGAAGCACATAAGAGACTGGACACAGATTCCAGGAAGCAAACAATTATTTATTTGCAGCTGCAAAGTCCCAGTGTCCACTATGAAGTTCACAATACATTGGGCACCTCGTAACAATCGAACAAAGATTATATACCATACATGACATATTCCATACATATACAAAATTACACCCATACTGCAGCAGATTGTAACCAGTTAGCAAACTATTATTTATCACTACATGTATTAGCTACTTGTAGCAGGGGCGTACTTAGAGTATTTGGCACTAGGGGCAGATCCTGTGATTGGCATCCCCCCTTTAAAATGTAAAGAAACACCCGCAATTGTTTTTTTTATGTTTTAAATAATATTCTATATATAAATAACATTTTCCTAAGTGTATTTTGATATTAATAGATATATTTATATCAAAATACATTAAGTATGAAAATCTGCTGCTCCCCTGTCTTCTACAAAACCCCCTGCCCCTTCATCAAAAAACCTTGCCCCCTCTCTAAAAAAACTCTGCCCATTTCTTCAAACCCCTACCCCTCTCTACAAACCCCTGTCACCCTCTCTACAAATCCTTGCACCAAACCCCTTTGCAGCCCCCACAAAACCCCTGCTCCCCCCACAAACCCTCTGTAGAGCCCCCATAAATACTTGCTCCCACACAATCCCCCTGTCCAGCCCCTACAAATCCCTGCTTCCCCCACAAAACCCCCGACCCCTATACAAACCCCTGCCACCCCATCACAAAACCCCTGCCACCCCTATAAATCCATGCTCCCCCACAATCTCCCTGTCAGTCCCAAAAAAAAAAAAAATCATTGCTCCACCACAAACTCTCTGTCCAGCACATTACTGTTACGTCAATTTAAAAAGCAAAAAACATTAGCAGACACACGGTTGATGACAGGCATGATGCCTGCTTGCTGCTCCCTGAAACTGTGGCACTGCCGCTGCATGTGCCACCCGCCAGGCTCAGAGCGAAGCACTGTAAGTTTGATGGAGGAGAAGGGCGAAGCCGAGCAGCGTTGCGCGTCTCCGCCCTTCTCCTCCTTAACATGAATATGTTGGGACGCTCCACCGCAGCTGAATGACACCCTCCAGAGGGAGAAGTCAGACTATAAATTTAACAGAAAGGAAAAGAACCTGTCTTACCTATAATTCAGAAGTTGCTGATTCCTGGACTCGGGAGTGTAGACATCATGGGGTACACAGGGGTCAAGGAAATCTACTAGACAAACAAGTCTAGTAGCATCAGAGAAACACAAGAATCCAGGGACCCTGTTCCGTGATGCCGCCCACGAGTCAAGTGGAAATAAATAAATCACCATCTCAAACTTTTACTTGCTTCCTGGCCAATGCAACAAATATAGCAGGAATTCAAAGCCAAGAAGCACATAAGAGACTGGACACAGATTCCAGGAAGAAAACAATAATTTATTTGGAGCTGCAAAGCCCCAGTGTCCACTATGAAATTCATGATACACTGGGCACCTCGTGACAATCGAACAAAGATTATATATCATTTATGACGTATTCCATACGTATACAAAATTACACCCATACTGCAGCAGATTTTAACCAGTTAACAAGCTATTATTTATCACTACATGTATTAGCTACTTGTAGCATTCCTGGAATTCCACACATCCGCCCTGGTCCTAAGTCTTTATACAGCAATTTAACCACAAAAGTTCCAAAAGTTTTCTAGGTCATCCTGCAGCTTCTACCACATTCCCCCCTTTGATGCTACAACACCTGGGTACAGGTGGCTGACAAGCATCATAACACAATGAGTCATGTAGGGCTCATACCAGGCTAGAAAAGATGGGGCTATATAGTGTCTTTCCACTGACCTATAATAGGTGCCCTTAGTTCCCTTAGGAACAGTTCATATGCAGGTGACACTAGTTTCTCGCTCTCCCATAGGGGGATTAGGAAAAAGGAGGTTTCAGGGTTCCCAGTACACATGCTCCCGACCAATCCTTTTGGAGTTCAAAGTAGGCCTTAGGGCCACAGATCAAATACATACAATTGGGTGCTTTCAAGGTGGACCCTGCAGACAGATTGGGCTATACATCCTTCAGTTACGAGTAATTCCCCAAGGGGCTAGGGATGGGTTAATGGACATTCGCTGCAGACCACCAGGAGGTGGTCCCATCAGAGGAATTATATGTTTGCTGCCCTAAACACTTGAGAGTACCTACAAAAGTCTTACATTCTGGACCAGATCTACCTATGCACACATTGCCGATTATAGAGGTTTTTAACAACCTTTCAGATTTGGGACAGGGAAATAATCCTCCCTCTTCACCATGATATAGTTCCTGCAGGTCTGTCTCACATGCTTCCCACTGATCACACATATTGGTGCCACCACATACCTACCAATTAGTTAAATTGAGGGACTGTGCTATGTTTTCAGCTAGGTCAGGAAACAAATAATGAGTGGTGTGGGAAATGTCAATCTTGGATCCCAATTCTTTGTATAAGGATTAAAAAATCTGGTGGTCTCAATATTTTTACGACTTAAGTTTCAATATTCAAATATATACTGACCAAAATTATAAATGCAACACTTTTGTTTTTGTCCCCATTTTTCATGAGCTGAACTCAAAGATCTAAGACTTTTTCTATGTTCACAAAAGGCCTCTTTCTCGCAAATATTGTTCACAAATCTGTCTAAATCTGTGTTAGTGAGCACTTCTCCTTTGCCGAGATAATCCATCCACCTCAAAGGTGTGGCATATCAAGATGCTGATTAGACTGCATGATCATTGCACAGGTGTGCCTTAGGCTGGCTACAATAAAAGGCCACTCTAAAATGTGCAGTTTTATCACACAGCACAATGCTACAGATGTTGCAATTTTTGTGGGAGCTTGCATTTGGCATGCTGACTACACGAATGTCCACCAGAGCTGTTGCCCGTCAATTGAATTTTCATTTCTCTACCATAGGCAGTCTCCAAAGGCGTATCAGAGAATTAGGCAGTACATCCAACCGCAACAGTAATGCAAGGCTGTCCAAAATGTATCAGTGTGGACTACTGATAGTAAAAAGGCATATAAATAAGACTTATATAAAAGTGCAAAATAAAATATAGAAAATAGTCCAAAAAGATTTATAAGATGCACTGTGGCAATAGATGTCTTTTAAGATGCTTTTGGTGATGGGGTCTCTTCTCTGTTTATAGTAGTCCAGTTGGTCTTGTGATATGGAAATCACAAGATAAGAGACCAATCGTATAGAGTGTAAGGGTCAATATATGTGAGATAAAGATATAAATATTCCACTCACATTTAAATGAGTTATAGCCAGCTCAGGTATAACAGGCGAAGAGCGGAACAATCCCCGCTTATGGGATATATGGATGATTGTCCTCCAGAGGGAACGGTGTCCAACTCTCAGGAAAAGGGATATATAAAAATAACTAATAGTGCTCACTGTTTAACACAGTGTAAAAGTTGTTTAAATAGCAAAAAAAATTACTTACAAGTATAGTGCAGGCCAACTGCACTATAGTAACATATGGTGGTATGATCCCCACCTCAGATAGGCTTGTAAGCACGTGGTAAAATCAATTAGATGCCAGGTAAAAATAAAATAGTGTGTGAAAAGATAGTTGGCACAGATAGTAACCAAAAAATCTTTAATTATGTAAAATAGGGCTTTTTTTCAAAATGAGATAACATTAAAAACATGGCTGATAGGAGTATATATAGGTACATAATAAGTTAAAAATTGGCACAAAAAAAAGTCATTTATCAATAGCCAATAGAATCAGAGTTGTATATCACCTATATTGTAAGTGAAAATAAAAAGGTTTACAATAAAAGTAACATTATATACGGTCTCATGCCGTTAAAATTATTTAAAAACGAGGTCTATAAACTTAGGAATGTTTAGTTTAAGCGCATCGCGTGAAACATGCTTTGCATGTTGGGAAATGTAGTGCGCGAGTCACGTGACCGGCGCATTCATTAGTGGCAGTGTGAAGCGAGCTATATAGATCGCGGCATTATGGGGAATGAGGTTCGCTAGATTCGCGGCACTTTGCCGCTTGGGATATGTAGTGCTGAATGAATCAGCATGTGCGGCCGCCACTCTAGTGGGCAGTGCGCACGTAGCTCTATTTAGTGGCTGTGATGGGCACTTTGCCTCTTGGGATATGTGGTGCTGAATACATCAGCATGTGTGACCACTGTTATAGTAGGCGGTGCGCACATAGTAAGGGGCAGGGCGATGGTTATTATGGATTTTTATTTGGCCTTTTCTGGGGCTGAAAAAAGAAGATTTTAGAAAAAAGATGATTTTAGAAAAAAGAAGAAATCAAATGGTAAATTTAATTAATTATTTTACAGGTACCTAACCTTTCCCCACTTTTTTTAGGGTGAGGGGGAGTAGGTAGGGGTTAATTTTGTTGGGAGGGGGTTAACTAGGGGTTTAGGGACTCCTAGTCATCCTGGGGGGGTGTTTAACATTTTTTATGGCCCCCACCCACCGCTAAAGGGTTGGGGGCCAGGAGGACAATAGGTCCCCCCTTCAGGTTAGAAGCCCACACTTGCGCAGCACGGGTGTGGGCTCAGGAGGGGAGAGACAGGTTTTTACCGTGGGAATTAGGGAGTTATCTACTTATTCATTCCTGTCATTCAAGTGACTTACATTTGATATGAATGTGTGTTACTTAATTGTTGTAAGTGTTGCAAATGCTTACAGCTGAATTCTGGCTATGTTTTTATACTTTTTATTTAAACTTGTATACAGTGTAACATTCTTCATTCTTCCACTGAGTAGGTATATTAGTACTTCGGCAATATTGTGCTTCGGAAATTCTGCAATTTCGGAACTTCAGTAATTCGGATATTCGTCAATTCAGCAATTCGGACATTCGGAAGTGTCCGAATGTCCACATTTCCCGAAATTCGTCCGAATTGATATTCAAAACTAAA